ACTGTGGCTATTCTGTGTGTTGTTGCATGAATTTCTGTTGTAAACCTGCACTGAATTAATGTTCCTATACACATGCAGGGAAGTCTGCTTCAACGTGCTGGAAATCCAGCCTGTCAGAGCAGACTCAATTAATTGAGTCTATGAATTACAGTAATGGATTAATTGAGTCTGCTGGACAGTGGAAATTAACACACTCTGGCAGACTCTAGCGTGACATGTATCAGCATCCCCACACTGAAAAATGGTGGCAGGGAGCTTTGAACTAAAGCTTGTTCGACGAGCTTTAGTTCAAAGCACTCCACGCCATTTTTCAGCGTGGGGATGCTGATATACATGATGTTCGGGTGCTTTTAATTAGTGTGGCTTACTAATTAAAGCACTCCCCACACACTTCCTGGAGCATGTGTAAGAATGTCCTTAATGTTTGCAGATCCATGTATGCAAGTAATGTTCTAAACGAGACACCTTCAGCCTTCCTAAACTCTTATGTAATCCTCTTATGGGGGTTACACTGACTTGCTTTAAGAAACAGAAAGTCAAGGCTTACCATTATACAGAAAATTGTATACCTTAGCATATAGATACAAAAGCCATTTTTAGAAACTGAAAAGTACCTATGTACTTAAGAGAACTCAGTGATAAACTCTCTACCACTTGCATGTCTTTAATGGAAGATTTATCCACTGAAAATTTCTCACATTCTTTTAAATCTGTCCTGGGTCAAATGCTGCCTACTTTGCATGTTTAGTTTACTGGTGTTTTCATAGATTCATAGGTCATAAGGCTGGAAGGGAACTTGGAAGATCATTGGGTCCAGCCCCCTGCACCAGGCAAGAAAGGCAATTGGGGTCAGGTGACCCCAGCAAAGTGACCGTCCAGTCTTCTCCTGATGATTTCCAGGGTAGGTGTTTGCACCACCTCTGGAGGGAGCTTATTCCACAGTTTGGACACCCAAACTGTGAAGAATTTTTTCCTGATGTTGAGCCTGAATCAATCTTCCAGGAGTTTGTGGCCATTACTCCTGATTTTCCCCTCAGGTGCCCTAGTGAACAGTTGCTCACCGAGCCCTTGATGTACTCCCCTACTGTAGTGGTAAGCTGCTACCAGGTCATCTCTCAGCCTTCTTTTCCTCAGGTTGAAGAGTCCCCAGATCCCTCAGCCTTTCCTCCTATGGCTTGCCTTTTAAGACTCGCATCATATGGGTGGCCCTTCTTTGGACTCTCTCAAGCTTGTCTTCGTCCTTGTTAAAGTGTGGTACCCGGAACTGGATGCAGTGCTCCAGCTGTGGTCTCACCAGTGCTGAGTAGAGCAGAAGAATCACCTCCTTGGTTTTGTTGGAGATGCATCAATTGATGCATGCCAGAGTATTATTTGCCCTGCTGGCTACAGCATCACACTGCCGGCTCATGTTCATACTGTGGTCTATTATTACCCCCAGGTCCCTTTCATTTGTGGTGCTAGTCAGTTTGGTGCTGCCAAGCCTGTAGGTGTGTTGGGGGTTGCTTGTTACAAGATGGAACACTTCACATTTTTCAACGTTGACCTGCATCAGATTCCGATCTGGCCAACTTGCCAGCCTGTCTAGGTCTGCCTGTATCTGTAGCCTATCTTCAAGCATGACCACACTTCCCCATAACTTGGTGTCGCCTGTGAACTTGGCCAGGGAGCTCTTTACCCCCATATCCAAATTGTTAATAAAGATGTTGAAAAGTACTGGACTGAGGACCAACCCCTGCAGGACACCGCTGCCCACTACTCACCAGAATGACACAAATCTGTTCACTACAACTCTCTGGGTCAAGGATGACACATAGGGGGTGCATATGGGTGCACATGCATCCCCTGAGTGTGGTGGTGCACCCCCTACAACAAGGTGCTGCCAACGTTGTTGGCGGCGCCTGCGAGTGGTCGCCGCTCAGCACTCTACTGCTGACGCTGCCGTTGGCATCGGTGGGTGCTCCTCAATCACTGCTGGCCACTGCTGATGCTGCCGGCGGTGGTCACCGATCCTTGGTCAGGGCTCGCCACACCGCCCCCTCTCCCTGCCAACAGTGCCGTTGGTGTCTGCAGGAGCTCCCCCACTTACTGCCGCTGTGCTCCCCCCACTCCCACCACTGCTGCTGCGCTCCTGCCACTGCTGTGCCCCCCTGGCCACCAGGGGCATGCGTTGTTCATGCTTTAGGTCCTACCCTGCAGCCGGTTTCTCACCCACCTGACTGTCTTGGAGTTAAGCCCACAATCCTCCAATTTTCTCACAAGGACATTGTGAGATACTAGATCACACACCTTTTGGAAGCCAAGGTATGCAATGTCAACCTGCTCTCTCATGTCCAGGTGGTGAGTTACCTGGTCATAGAAAGAGATGAGGTTGGTAAGGCAAGACCTGCCCATGATGAAGCCATGCTGGGTGTCATTCAGAATCTTACCTTCTGCAGGCTTATCGCAGATAGACTCCTTGATGAACTTTTCTAAGATTTTTCCTAGGATGGAAGTTAGGCTGACTGGCCTATAGTTAGCTGGGTCCTCCCTCCTGCCCTTCTTGTGTTTGGGCACAGCATTGGCTCTCTTCCAGTCCTCAGGGACTTCTTCAGAGTACCACAAATTGTGAAAGAGTTTTGCCAGGGATTCCACAATGACTTTGGCCAGCTCCTTCAGCACTCTCGGATGAAGATCATCCTGTCCTGCTGACTTGTATACATCTAATGTTTTTAATTGGTCATACACCAATTCTATGACAATAGTAGGAAGGCAATTATTCCTACCATGCTCATCCTGTATGCTACCTGGTGTGGTTTTCCCCTTGGTCCGGTGAAAGACCGAGGCAAAGTAGTCATTCAGGTGTTCAGCTTTCTCCTGAGTACTGGTACCCAGCTGTCCTGAGTTGTTGAGCAATGGCCCCACATTCCCATTTGTTTTCCTCCTGTTCCCTATGTACCTAAAGAAAGACTTCTTGTTGTCCTTGAATTCCATTGCTAATCTAAGTTTGGTTGCCGCTTTAGCTTGTCTTATTTGTTCCCTGCAAATGTGAGCCATCATGGAATGATCCTCCTTGGACTTCTTCTATAAACAGAATTATCAAAAGGAATCAATAGGAGCAGTTATGTCTGACTTCTTATAAAGATCCCATAATGTATGAATTTAATTTGTTAAAATACAGACCTAAATATCATATTGAGAGAAAAGAGAAGGGTTTAGGATGAACTTGTTACATATCATACTTTTTCAAAAATATTCTGCTGATAAAATAAAGATACAAGCAAAAAATACAGCAAAGACACAAGGCATATCCTTAAGTATGCCATATAATAATATATAGAGAAATACCAAGAGTAGGAAGTATTAGCAAAGGGAAAAGAAGAATGCATGAAACAACTGAAGTTAAGAACAAGAAAAACTATGGCAAGAATGTGCAGTTCTACATGCCCAGAAATCCTGACATTTCAAGAGGCAATTTGAGACTCAGATAATCTAGAAAAAAATCTCTATCATGATATCCATCAATATTTTCATGTAATCAGAAGACCTTGTAAGAATCCATGGCCATGTCCATAATGGGAACAAACCACTCGTTGCCTGTTGGAAGATGAGCTTGCAATCTCTAAAGTACAATATGTTCACAGGTATTAGATATGCATGTATTCCCTTTTGCAAGAGGTAGGAGGTAGGACCTAGCTTAAGTTGGGTGTTCTGCCAGCATATTTATGTTGTGTGTGTGGGGCAAAAATTATACCCCTTAGGTGGTATGGCTATGCCAGAAAATCCCATGGTATAGACACAGCTATGCTGACCAAAGATGTCAACTTAGTTGATCTTGTCTGGGAAAGTTATTTAGCTGTGTGAGCAGAAAATCTCCTCCTGCTGCCATACATTGTGCCTCCTCTTGGGGGTGCTGCCACTGTAGCTATAGTGGCAGAGGAATTGTAATACATGCATATCTATAGACCTGATCACATTTGTGCAAAAAAGAACCAGTGGAGGACGAGTGCACTGAAAATAAAGCTCATTATTGTACATAACTTGCGAATTCTGAATCCAATATGTTTAGGATTTGTTCTAAACTCATCTAAAAATAAATCAAAGAAAGATTTAAAATGTGGGCCTCGTTCAAAGTGGTACTGTACACCACCAGGACTAACACTACAAATCCATTAAGAAAACAAGGACCATACATTACTGAACCAGAGGAAACTGTAAATCTTGTGGATGACTGAATACCACCACTAATTCATAAAAACATACAGGAAACGATAAAGTGCAGACATTTAATAAAGCCTTCCTTAATCACTGGATGTATTGATATTCCCTTTCAATTCACTGTACCTTAAAATGTGGGGTTACACTAACAGATATGAAATATGAAAATCTTTGTGCTTCCTAAAACAGGCCATTTGGATTCAAATTCAACAGCCTCACTTCAGGTAAATGACAGCAGAATTTGGCCTGTTGGCTTAAAGTTGTGTATGTAACCACAACCTGCTCATCCCTTCCCAGAATCTTCTCTCCAATCCCACCCCTTCCTTTTGGGTAGTTCAGAGGAGCTCAGAAAGATAAAGAAATAAGGACTTTACACATCAGGCCAACTGTAACTACTTAGTATGTGTTTCTGCTTTAGACTCCAAAATGTGTAATGTGGAACATCAGAAAGACACATTGGTGAACTCTCTCCTTATAATGGGAAACAGTTGAGGGTTCTACCAAATCTGTCACTTTTAAAATGAAAACATGAGAAAAGGCTAAGATAAAACAAAACAAAACAAAAATGTTGGAATAATGCACTTTGATTCAGATACTGAAAATTGTTCCTCAAGGAATGGAAAAGCTGATGGAAAAAAATAAAACGAAATCTTATGGTGCTTGTAGCAGCTCAAGCAGACATTCTTCCTTATAATCCCCTTACTCCCCTCCCATTAAAAAAAAAACAGAAAAAACCTTTTTGTGATGGCTTGTAGAAACTTGGGACCTTAGGATGTTTAAACAAGTGGTTCCTATTTCTATTTCAGGGTAACTTGTGACTGTCCCAGACAGCACTTCACTCATCTGGGCTGAACTGAACAGTAGTTTATCAAAAAGGCAAACAAAGAGGCCTACCAAACAAGATTAAAGATCTGATGGAACAGTCAAAAGAAGAGAGAATGTTTTTTGTGGGACTTCAGTCATAAAACAGAAGGGAAGATACTTATATAAGAAAACAAATATTCAATTGTACTGTTTTAAAGAGGTCTTTAAAAATTAATCTGGTACTTGTAATAATTTTCCTGTTTCTTTTCCATTTTGCCAAGCTTCTGAAAGGTTCACTGGGAGATAAGAGGGGGAACATATAAAGGCTGGGAGACAATGTTTAAACAATTTATTTTCTAGTTATTTTCTATATACTCTTTGCATTTACAACAAGTGCCTTTGCCCTCACAACCCTGTTTCTGCTATTGCTGGATTTAGAGTGATCTTCTTATCTCACATTTGTGACATTAGATTATTGCCATGGTAATATGTAATAACACAAATTAAAGTGCCAGTGACATGCATCTCCTATTGATGTAAATGGGAATTCAAGGTGCTGGTCCCAATTAGTATATGGCTATCGTATTAACTATGGGGGCTAGAAGCAAGTTTGTTTTTAAACACATCTCTCTTAGCAAACATGGAAAACCAAGATAATAATAAAAAAATCAAAGATGACTAGAGATGACTGAATAATTTGCTGCAGAATTTACTTTGAAATTCACCCAAATTTACTTTGAAATTTACCCTTTTCTCTGTAAATTATGTGTTGATTCTAATTTTTGTTGATTCTAAATATATTTAGAATCATCAAAAATGAGTATATATACACACATGCATGCAGCCACGCATACTCTCTCTCTCTCTCTCTCTCTCACACACACACACACACACACACACACAGAGGAAATAACGAATAAAATAAATCTAGTAACTATATGTATGTATATATATATATACATATACATATAGTTACTAAGCGCTTATATGTCTAATTTCCACACCTGGCTGTTTCACAAACTGTTTACTGTTAGCAGTCTTCATTGATTACCAAGGTTTCTGTTCTACCTGAATGGATGACTTAATTGTTAAAAATAAGAAAATGTTTACAAGGAATTAATAAAGAATTATTTTCAGGAAAATTAATACTAGAGTTCACAAAACTCTTGGAATTCATAATCATTTTCATGAATAAACCAATAGTTATTCTCATACTCATGGTAAACCACAAGTAACTTCACACCACAGATAACACCAGGAAAAAATTACCATGTTTATTCTTCAGGTATATTTATGTATCACCTTTTGTATTGCTTGACTTAATCTATGGTAATTTGTAATTTAAAGGTATATGGCTGACTTAAAAAAAATCAGACTTCTGTCTGAATTTATTTACTTATTGTTGTTACCAGAAATATCTAAGGGAGATTATTTCCTTTTGCTTTTTCAGCTTATTAATTTAGGACATTTGACAGCATCTTGCATTCAGCTTCCCAGTGTTCCCTGTTTATGCAGAAATAGGAGAGAAAGAGTATGATAAAAACAGGAAAATGTGCCTCTATATTCAGATATTGGGAGGAGAATTCAGTGGTCATTGTAGTACCTGGAAATAAGTCAAAGTACCTTTCAGCTCACTGGATTGACAATGTGCCTTTCATGCCTATTATCTTTGAAAGTTCTCTTCTGTAATAGGGCTTCCTGCCTGACAGCTCAAAATTAAGGAGACAATTTTCTTGTGATCTTCCAAGAACTAATTTTTAGCTGGTTTAGACTTTTTCCTGCCCCTGACAAACCAGTTAATATCTACTGTCATTAACTAATCCCCACACGATAGAATGGTGGCTTGCTGAGTATTTGTGACTTAACTTGCATGACAGCATTAACACTGAACTCCTTTAATATAATTATGTTACTTTACAAAAAGAAATATTTAGTTTAAATGAGAAATAAAGGATTCCTTTTTAATTCCATTGCTCTATTAGCATCTGATTATGAAATGAAATACCTCTCTTTTAGACAGGCTATATATCCAACTGAATCACTGAAGATAGCTAAGAAATGCAGATCAGGGATGATTTAATATAAGTCTCATTGACCTGACCCAAAACCCACTAGAACCAATAAAAGTCTGTCCATTATCTTCAGCAAGTTTTGTACATAACAAAAGGTTTAAAAGTAAGTCTGTAGGTTTTATAACTGGGCTCACTTTAATTTCTTGTAACAAATTTTGGCTGACTTTGTTGCACTCTTCAAGAAACTTTAGCTTTTCTAGAGCAGGTCCTATGTTAGAGGCAGGGAGTTATCTGTAGGCAACTGTAAAATTAACTTAAGTGTAAAATCCCAAATAATAAGATTTCCTAAAAGAGAGCCTATGAACACCTTAAGCTGCACAGCCTAGAGGAAAATGTGGCAGTGCTTACCTTTCGCTGTGCATTCATGTTACATTCATTCTCACCAGAGAATGTACGTTCTGAAAAATATATACATCAGACAATATTCATGGAGTGAACTTTTTGGCAGAATAACAAGGCCTGGCATCTAAAGGATGATGTTTATTAGGGGATTTTTCACTCCATCAGTCATGATTGCTGTTTGTGTGTGTGTGGCTGGAACTAGTGCTAGGTTTTATGGAAAGCCAAATTCTACTTCAGGCAGTATTCAGTTTATTTTGAATGAATTTCCTCCCAGCCCACCAAATCCTGCAGCTGCTTGTTTGGCTAATAAAACCCCATCTGGTTTCTAAAAATTCATCCAAGTAAACTATAAGTGAAAACTCATTGATTACCTCTGCCTTTCTGTCTCCAATTTGATAAATCATCTGCCTTTGTGGCTTTTAGAGTCATTTCTGTGTTGGTTTTATTCCTATTAAATTCTGTAAGACTTTTCAGAAGGCTGCCTCTGATGCTGAGACCAAAATACTGTAAACAACCACAAGAAGCAGAGCTAATGTTTTCAATACAGCTCAAGGACTAAAATAACCTCATTGGATTAGGCCAGACTGAGGGATTGTTTTGATGATTGTTTCCCAGAATCTTTACTTAAATACATCCTCTCTCTTATTGCCCACCTCCTGTGTGTGCATGTGTGTTCACATACCCAGTGACAGTCTAGTATAGGAGAAAAGGGAGGAATGTGGCCACGTTTTAAGTGTTGGTACTGGCCCCTTTTCCTATCTGTCCCCTACAGTTAGAAGGATGAATTCTTGGCTATTACCCCTCTGCCAGTCTATTACCAGTCTACTTAACAGTTGTATGACAGCAGTAAAAGCTCAAACCCAGAGCGGAACCTCATCATGCTGCATGAGGCAGGTACACGGCTCAAGAGGCAGCCCTGCTTTGTTTTTGAAATAGCCAAGATGCAGGGAAGGAGGGAAGGGGGTACAAGCATCATCCCCGACGGCAGATGAGAGAACAGCAAGGAGTTGTCCTTTGGAAACCTAAGAGTGTGCTTTCAGTTCTGAGCGCTGGAGAATCTGGCCCCAAGCTCTTGCAGGCTCTAACCCCAGGCCACACAGGAACTCTGTGGTCAAGCTGGGAATTGGCACCACGTCTCATCTCAGACTCGAGGCCAGAGCCTGACATCATTGCAGAGCCAGCTGAAGCCAACAGGATTAGTCAGGGCACAGAAGCGAGCAGGACCAGGGCTTGAAAACCCAGGGTTTGCTTCTCACAACACCCCCCCCCCGCCGGTGTTTGTACCGGTCTGAGGTAACAGAGACAAGATTTAGTTTCTCCCGCTTTGCTTAAACGGAGCTCTGCCTTTGTCTGCTTTCAGGTTTCCCCAGGAAAGGCGAATCCCCATTTCACAGACGGAAGTGGAGGCTGTGGTGACCTAGTACACAAGGCGGGAGACAGCCCCCCGGGTCGGGAGAAGGTTTTGGCGAGGAAGCGGCAGTGAGGGAGCGCCCTGCCCCTGCCCCGGGCCCCGCCGCCCGCCCGGGCGGCTTCCCCTGGCCAGCGCGCTGCACCCGCGGCTCCCGGGGAAGACCAGCGAGCCACGGCGGGTGAAGCGGGGTGCGGGGAAGGAGCAGGGCAGGGCGCGGGGGCACACGTCCCGCGGCCGGGTTGACAGTCCCAAAGAAATCCGCAGACGAGGGGAGACGCGGGAGCTCGTCCCGCCGCCGCACAACTTCCCGGGAGGCGCTTGTCCGCCCTGCTCCGTCCCCCCGCCCCACACCTCTCTCGCAGGGCACAATTTTTCACGTAACAAATAGACTTTTTATTTTAGAGACAAAAATATCGTTTTCGGCTGGAACAATGGCCGGATCTCTCTGAATGAAGGCTTTGCATATTTTCCTGTTTTAATTGGTTGTATAATAAACACAACTGACCCCACACTCGCTTTGCAATGAGTTCAGGGTGAAACTCAGACCCTGGGACTGGAAATGACTTCTTCACCGCTTCAAACGTGGACAAGAATGCCAGGAATCGGCGAGCTGAACCCGCGGCGCGCCCGAGCCGGCACCTGCACGCGCCCCGCACCAGAGCGCACGCACGCACCGGCGCGGCGGGGAAGGAGCGGGGCAAAGGTGTACGGAAGGGCTTGGCTGGGCAACTACCGGACCGTAAGAGAGTGCACTTCTCAGCCCGAGCTCCCGCCCTCCTTGCAGCACGCGGGACAGGGTTGTCACCGACCCCGCACCGCACACTCGCGAGCTGTGCGTACAACAGGCACGCGCGCGTGTCAGAGGGAGGAAGGTTCCGGGCAGGGGCCAGTACTGATGTGCAGGGATCCTGGCCTTCTCTGATTTTAAAAAATCTCCAATTTTCGGTTAAAATGTAGCCCCAAATCCGCATTTTTTCCATGATTAAAATGAAACATTACTAGATAGAGAAGGCATTACTATATATATCTATAAATATATATAGTGTGTACATATTTATAGTGTGCGTGTGTATCTATCACATGTTTCATTTTAATCATAGAAAAATGTGGATGCATGTACATATATATATATACACACACATAGATAGATAGATAGATAGATAAGGCATTACTATATATACATCTATATACACACACTATATATACATGTATACACTACATATACATATAGTTATGCCTTATCTATCTAGTAATGTTTCATTTTAAGCACGGAAAAATGTGGACACACACACAGACATAGCTAGCTAGAAGATTGGGGCATTACTCTCATATATGTATATATCAAGTATCCCTGCTGCAATCTTTCCGAAATCTTCTCTTAGCATATATGTATCGATATACGATATATAT